TGGTTAAAAAATATAATTTCAAAAATCAAATTCAATGTTTACGTTAATTAATTAAAAAAAATGCATAGTCTTTCTTCACGGTTTGTAAAGTATTTTAAGTTCGTTCAATTTGCACGGATCAATTTTCTCGTCTACAGAGCAAATATCAGCAGCGATTCGCATTACAAATGTATTTTTAATTCTGAAATTGAAACGCGATTCGCATATCCCATATCAAATCTGTTTTACCTTTAATCTCACGTATGTATACTATGTGTATTCAACCAATGCAATTACGTTACTGAAGGACTAGTCCTGGCAAGGAGCCAAATGGACTTGCAATTTGCAGGGAGTAAAGGGTAAATTATTCAACGTTGGCATTTGCGAATAATTATTACATCGAACGAAGATCGTACGAGTAGCGTCACGCGATACTTAGTAGAATAATATTTATTGTGACAAAAACAATTTTCAAATTAATATTTCCAAAAAATTGTCATAGCCTAAACACGTTTCTTATTGTCAGATTCATATAATTGACGCAATTTTTTATGACGACCAATAAAAATACTCGGACAACTGCAATTCTCAGGGGTGAATATGAATTCGTAAAAAAATTACGCAATTCTCTACATCACGTTCCGAAATTTAGCATAGGACATCGGACAGCATTAAATTTTTTCCCACCTGTTACGATGAAACGCGACAGGCTTTTTATTCGTAACGCGTATCTACAGTGACCTTCGAACCTTTTATTTTAATCATAAAAATTAATGGGACCGTTTTATGTGAATAACTCGTCGAATTAATTCCTCCTGAAATATTGACAAATGACAAATTCGTTAATCGACGTTGTAGAAAAGCTTGGCTAATTTTCATTATGACAAACAACGATTTGCGAACTTTAAAACTCTGCTTTGGTTTAACATACAATAAATTCATGTTCATATGAATCTTCAAAACTACACCCCTTTGCCAGAGATACTGAATAACGCGGTTAACCCTCCAATTGTCCCATATCACATTTTGCGAATCTACTCACGGATTTTAATGTCCTGCACGGCCAATGGGACAAGGGACATAAAGAGAACGTGGCAACGTGATATTTACTGGCACTTTTCGTGACTCCGATACGCAATTCACACCGTCCACCTTTTGTACTAATCATCGAACGTCACCTAATTCAAACGTCACCTAATTACAGTTCATGACGACGCAGCAACGAAGACTCTTCCTCCCTTTTTTTTTCCCCTAAATTTCACCAAACATCAAATCCCAGTCAAAGAAATATCAGTCGGCAATACTTATGACACGGCAACAGTAGAGAAACAGCAAACGAATATTTCCGTCCAGAACGAACTCTCCGAAACTCTCGAGAACTTCGTACTCCTAACCTCAAAGTTCGCCAAGAAGATTGATTGCGAGTTGACAAAAGTAAATAAACCCGATAACAATGTACACCGAAGCGATTCGTATCCAAGAGTAAAACTAGTCTCGTAAGATTGTTTCAAAGCCAATTATAAAAAAAAAAGCCCAATGTGAAATAACCTCAATAATTGGAATCTAGAACCCTTTAATTATCGCAATATTCAAACAACCCTGCGAGCTTGACATTCAGATAAATATTCGTTTCATAAGACAAAAAGACAATCGCTCAATTAAATCCCGTCTCGAGAACGAAATTGGCCGTCGCAGTCAGATGGCGAAAATTTCAAAAAACTAATAAACCTTAGTTTCCATAAGGCTCTGGACCATGAAAAGTCTTACTCGAGTGCAACGAGCCAACTGGAATCGTAAAGCGGGAAACTGCTGTGACATTTTAGAACAATTGCAGGCAGTCAACCTTCTACGACGTCTTTACCGAACAAAGGATACAGCCCTGTCTATAAAACAACCCCGTCTCTTACTTTTTTTCATCATCCAGCCAGAAACCTACAGCGGGTGTCACTTTCTGTCCTTTGACGTACTTCCATACTTGATATATATACATAGCCGTTAAATAGTACACTTACGTAAAGCATATAGGTAAAATTACATAAAAGCATTTATTCCTTGACCAGTGTCGAATCTACACAAAAAGTACTTTGTATTTTCCTATTTCCTTTGCACGTAGGTACAGTACGTTGAGAAAGTCTTGACGATGCTTTAGACGTATGGTGCATAATGTTAATGAAATTTAAGATTAAAATCTTTAATTTCCTACTGCATACTGTACCTAACTTAGGTATGTAGGTACATACCTGCTTGCTGTACCGGATATATATATGCGTATACGCTCCACTATTTCAGCATACGCGTATACGGCTAAGCTGGTATTCCTCTTGATTATACTGATGACACCCGTCATGTTATTTCTACTGGATTATTACAGAGACCCTCTCAACGGCGTATCTTGACCGGGCAGAAACTACCTTCTGCTATGAAATCATTGTTTCGTCCTTTGCCATCCAGCTTGGGTGAGAGTGATAAGGTTTGGTCTTGTGCTCCTGAATATGGATAAATTGTTACATTTATGGTAGGAGATGAATCGATTGTTGCGATTTATGATTCTCGTGATTGACCGACATGGCCCGTTGACACTTTACGCTCCATTTACGAATTGGACTTGGATAGGAGTATCGCGGCGAGAAGATGCTTTTGTTGGGAGTCTTTTTAAAAGATCGATTTTTAGCTGAAATATTTTAAAGAAAATATTTGTTCGATTTTCAAAAAATACAAATGCCCTAGGATATTTCTTAAGCGAAGCAAAACATCCCGCGTCGGATATCGATTATCGGTATAAATGTTGATGTACGGTGATGGCGCAGCGTGGATGCTCTTTCAGAATTTATAGAAATCAATAATCGATAGGATTTGGTATAGGAAGGTCGAGATGTCGAATTTTAAAATTTTGAAAAAATTCAATATAGTTATACAGAAATTTTTGAATTGTTTTTTTTTTTTGGTTCGTAAGCAGGACGATCGGCAGACGGAATTTGGTTTGATAGATGCAATTTTCTTTTCGTCCAATTTTGCTCGAGAACTTTGATAAACTTTTGGAAATTCGTTACGTTAAACAAAGTTGGAGACGAGAGGTTCGGCTTGTGAGAAAGAAGACGCGATGACCTGTGCTATTCGAATACTTTATAAAGTCACTATGCCTTTCGAATCTTCGCCAACTACGACAGTGCCTATCGCATAAAGACAATAAAATCAATAAACCATAACCAAGTGATCAGATGCCATAAAAATTTGTCTCGTAAAATTTTATGTGCACGGTGAATGGAGAAAAAGATCGTAATTCTTTCGGCGTTAATTTGTCCCACGAACCAAATGGATATGAAAAACAAGCTATTGAAAAAGAAAAAAAAATAATAATAATATAACAGAACATAGAAAAGTGTAAGAATTTCTTTATTAGTGTTATCAATAGAAATTATTATTTATTACTAAATACAGTGAAATTATATATTTAACAGTAGCTAGACGCAGGGCCAGTGCAACTTTATTACTATTTTAGTATTGAAAATTTGTCAAAATAATAATTTCATGCAAATTACCAGTAGCTGTATGGATGTATCTATAACATTGTGCGAGAAGCTGTAACTTATGGTAGCCGAAACAGAGAGAAGTTTGATAATTAGGGTTACTGTCAAAGTGAATATTAAACTGTACGTCAAGTGAGTGGCAAGAAAATTGAACCAATTATTTTTCATGGGTTAACCCGGCAAATTAGCTCGGTTACGAGTCAAGTTAATTTCTAATAAATTGACAAGCCGTCGAAAAACTTTTCCATCATTTCAATTTGATTTAATGACTCGAACGAAGCAAATGTTATTATATAGAAATTTGACTAACATTGGAAATGTGTAATTTGACGTTAATATCCAAAGTAAATGTTTGTACCCTGACAATTAAGGGTCAAATATTTTATTACTTATAATTTATTCCCCATCACGTTTTGGTATCTCCTAGTTAATCATATCACTATGCATGTTATACGCTGCTCACGAATTTCAACGGGACGTGAGTTTATCCAGTGCCAAAGAGGATTTGCAGTATTAACATAACTGGACAGTTTTTTCAAAATTAATTAAAATTTCTGTAAACGTCAGTGGATGCGATTTTATGTATTATGTAATGTAAAAAGACTTTCGCAATTATGCATTACAAAATTAAATGAATATTGACCATATAAAACTTTGTTGATTTTCCATCTCTAGTCTTAATAATTCTCTGCTACCGAATCGCACTACATTTTCTTTTGTCTATTGATTATCTGCTATCGCGTTAACGGCACCAAAGTCCCTTCATCCCAGGCCTGCCAATACAAAATCCTTTAATTCCATTTCCCACATCTTACTTTCACCTATCCCTATCTTGACATGCTATCACTCGCTTCGCCAACAGTCACTCTACCCGAATCACTCGTGCTATCAGTTACTTTGCTACGAAGGCGTCGAAGAAAAAAAAAGGAGAGTAACTAAAAAAAATAATTACCCAAAAAATTTATCATTCATTTATATTAATTAATACCTGCTCGAAAAGTATTTTCCATGTTGTACAAATATATACGCTTAAAATATTTTTTTTTTCTTTCGCTATACTACGAGTCGTTAGGTTAATGCCAATATTTCTAATCTAGAATTTGGAAAGTTAGCATGTTGTGAACCAAGCATTACATCGCAAGAGATACAGAATAGGACCCCGCTTCCTCACGGGTATAATACTTGAGATATTCAAACTTAATAGTATCTGCACTAGACATTATATTTCAAGATTTCGGAATTCTCCTGGAAAATCCAAAGGGGTAAGTCCTGCCCTAGGGCTACTTTCAAGACCGCCATTACACAGTGAAACTAATTTGATACTACTACGCTGCTAAATAATCAACAATTAAATATGCGTGGATTTGCGTTAAAAAAAAAAATCCGTGAATCAACAGAGCATATCCTACACTACTCCACGTATACCAACTTATAAAAATAAAATCGTAAAATAGTCCGTTGTTGGCATATACAAAAAAAAAATTTATATTTCAGATGGACTCGAAGTACATAAACGGACAAATAAATCATAACCAAAAAGTCGTTACCTGAACAGCCCAGGAGACGCAAGAAATAAAAAGCGAATTGAACCAAAGATAAAAAAAGTCATTGTAATCGATGACAGGGGGCGGTAAAGACGGCACAGGACACGTCGAAATAGGTATTTTCGAATGAAATCGACCGAAGTGTCGGCTTATTCGAGGATCCCAGGAGAAGAATAATAGAGGATCACAGAGGGGTGGTCGGTGGGTGGACAGGGGAGGAATGGTGCCTCTCGTGCTGGATGAGGGAAGGTGGCCGCAGAGGTACCACCACACAGTACCCTCGGCCTTCTACACCGAGGAGGCCTCGATTCTCTACGGTTCGTTGACGTCGAGCACCGCGTCGACGACCACAACAAACGTAACGGCGACGTCGACGAGCATAACGGCGACTCCATTACCAGCGGCGCCCTACCGGAGCACCTGGGGCGCCCGAAGGGATCCTCTCTACATAGTCGTACCGATGACGATAATATACGCCATAATCTTCCTCACCGGTGTCATCGGTAACGTGAGCACGTGCGTCGTGATAGCCCGCAACAAGTCGATGCACACCGCGACGAACTACTATCTCTTCAGCCTGGCCGTGTCGGACCTGCTGCTGCTGGTTTCCGGTCTCCCACCGGAAATGTACTACATCTGGTCCCACTTCCCTTACGTCTTCGGCGAGGTCTTCTGCGTGATTCAGGGCTTCGCCGCGGAGACTTCAGCCAACGCTACGGTCCTGACCATCACCGCCTTCACTGTCGAGAGATACGTCGCGATCTGTCATCCTTTTCTATCCCACACATTGTCCAAACTTACCAGGGCTTTCAAATTTGTCATCGTCATCTGGCTGGTCGCACTTTGCTTAGCCATACCCCAAGCAATGTCCTTTGGCATTGTCTACGAGACTTCCGCCGACGGCCGGATACCTTACGAGGATCATTACGTCTGCATCGTCAAGCGGGTCGTTATTCCTCACGCATTCGAGATATCCACCTTCCTTTTCTTTGTCGCTCCTATGACCCTCATTACCGTACTCTACGTCCTCATCGCCCTTCAGCTGAGACGCTCGAGTGTGATCGGCGGGGAGGCTACAGCCAGCACCAGCGTCTCCCTCAAAACTGGGGGCATCTTCAAGAGGAAGGAACGATCCGGCACTGAGGTTGTCGCTGTGACGGTGCCACCGCATGCCTGTTCCGCTCAGAACGTCGACGGCTCCCAGAGCGACGACGGCAGGAAGAATTGCTCCAGGAACGCTCAGACCAACGCTACCAAACGCGTTGTCAAGATGCTCGGTAAGATATTTTGAAAATCTTTTTCTTTCTGTAGAATTTGTGAAGGCCGGTGCACGTAATTATTATTTTTGACAATTCTTATTTTAGGGTTTTATGGAGATTCGAGCTTGTTTTTTTTTGGCGTTTAATGATTTTTTTGAAAAAGTATATACAACGTATACTATTCCAGTCTCCTGTATAGGCGTATATCTTATTTAGCTTACTGCCACGTATTTTGCCTAGGGGACGTGTTACGGAATAAAATCTGCGTAGGGTTACGAAAAAAATAAACGTGCCAACTGGCGTTAGCGCATTTATTTCATTTCTATGGTAATACCAATTGCAGTTGGTATCTGTAGTTCCAATAACCTATGTACATATTTCCAATTTTAATTCTGAAATATATGAGGAAACTTTCTTTTCGCCGTCTGACGTGGACAAAATGAATTTACCTTTTCGATTGAAAAAGTCTGTGAAGACGCTGACTTGGGAAAATTTTGAACTTTTATTCAATCGTTTCTCACGTCCCTCCCACTTCGAGCACAATCTAGTCCAAGTCTCCAAAGAATATATATTACACGCGTGTATTTTTTTAATAATATTGAAATCAAAATTTTGATTCATTTGGCTTATAGGGCCGTCTAATTTCGAGAAATGAAAAATACACTTTTTTTTTAACAAATTTAATTATTTGTCTCATTAAAAGTGTCGTACGGCAAATAAGCATATTGTCGCTCGCTGAGAACCCACCTTAATTTTATCATTTATCTTTCCTAGCATAACAAATGTCTCTGTATAACGACCAATTTCTTTTGACACCATGAAATTATAAAAAGGTATTATAACATTGAATTTATCACACCCAAGCCATACTCGTACTATCTCATACAAGTGAGAGGTCCATCAAAGAAAAAAAAAAGATGAATTCTTTTTTCATTCCCATAGGAGTACTCTGCTTTTGGTATTAACACGAATGGGAAGAAATTTTTTATTCCACTTTAGATACAATTCGCACGTTAAACCCAAATGGCTTGTAATAATTTTTCAGAAATAGCTGTCATACGTTCTTTTTTTTCTGCAAGTCGTGTATGATTAATTGTATTTGAGAAAGTCAGCAGAAAAAGAAAATTAAGAAAAGGTTCTTGTCTAATAGAAGGTCAAAGGTCGATATATCTATAAGGAACCCTCAATTTCATGTTCGAATGATACCATATAGAATCACCAGATATTTAACAGGAGATAATTGCCAATCACATGATGAAACTAAACTGATGGCGTATTACACGTATCCACAAGGCTTCACTAATACAACGTTCTGCCACGTTGGTATGAACTTGAGTAATACACGTGATCGATATTTTATGATTTATGGTATAGAAGTCAGGGAGTTTCGAGCTCATATTGATTATTAATCATAAAATGAGTAACAGGATTGACCAAAAGATTGATTTAAAAATTAATTATTTGTTTAAAATGTTGCTAAACATATTTGTGTAATAAGCAATGTTCAGTATACACTAACGTTAGGGAGTCCTTTGTACGAAACGTATTCTCAATCAGGGAGGGAGGAATTTCGTGCTCCATAGTCTGCATTAAGCTTGAGCTAAATGAGTTTGCTCCTGACTTGAGCATTTACCCGTTAGTAATTGATAATGCCATACAGTAATTAATGGCGTCTAATCCACGGATTACATAACACTGTTGAATATTTCTAAATATACAAAGGAACAATGAGTTTGATGAAAATTTGTAGTTGCCAATAATTCTCAAATACTTCCAATCGAATAAATCTTTTTGACTTTTAGTGGCCGTAGTGGTGGCGTTCTTCATATGTTGGGCACCGTTTCACGCTCAGCGTCTTCTGGCAATTTACGGCACTCACAGTGCACCCCATATGGTCGCCGTATTTACAGTGCTGACATACGTCTCCGGAGTTCTCTATTATCTATCGACGACTATCAACCCGCTGCTCTATCATATAATGTCCAACAAGTTTCGCGAGGCCTTCAAGGTAAATCGTTTAGAAGTTCTTAAGGGTTCTTGTCACACTGACACTGACGAGGACGTCACGCGTAAACGTTATAGAATAGCAGTTAAGTAAATTAATGGGTACTCTGGATTTATAGAGGGGAGATTATAAGTCAACAATCTCGTTAAAATTAATTGAAACCAACGCGAATTTGATAGGACGTGTTTAACCAAGAGGAATTTCCGTAGGTTTATTGTATTTATTGTAGTAAGAGAATCGAATTTTTGTTGCCTTCAGGTTTCAGGTTATAACATAATATATTCGATAGCTATTTATTTTTCTGAATTTTCAAAACTTATCGTACCAAGATAATCGACTGTACGAATTGACTTCGTACTGCATCGCGATTCTTCGAACAATATCATTAATAGGTTAATTAAAATTAAAGGAGTTGGAATATTTGAGAGACATACCAATGTCGGATACAACATTTTTACATTGACGATTGCACAACACACTTCCGCAGGCTACACGCGATCGTATCTGAGAACTAAAATATTTAATTACTTTCAGGAAACTCTGTCAGGATACTGTGGACGTGGAAGACGCGGCCGACGGCGTAGAAGAACAACAGCCGGTACCGGCGGAGTAGGTAGGTGCTACTCTGTCCTGTCCGGCAGATTATCCCACAACAGTACAAGCGGCTGCAGCATCATGGCGGATGGCGCTGGCGGCAGTGGTCGTTTCATGGAGAGCGAGGTTGCCAGTCTACGCGAGTACCGCCGACCCCTAGTGGTATCCTTCAGGCGCCGCGAAGATTCGCTGTCCCCAAAGTTTCACAGGAGGTCACAGTCGAAGCAGTCGAGACAAACGAGGAAAGCGGATGCCTCGCCCCCGGAAACGGAAACGGTCTCGGACGATCTAGGGAGCACTGGCAGCGCCCGGGCGATCCTCGACGCCGAATTGCAGGAGGCGCTCGCAAATTTGGCCGACGAGAGCAAATCTCGAGCTCGTGTCGGATCGTGGAGACATCCTGCGTACCGGTTGGGCGAGGGCGGCCGTACAGGAAATAACGTCTCTTTGCATGTGCTTTCCAGAGAGTCGGCTGCTCTAGACAGTGAGCTCTCCAGTGAAAGTGCGCTGCTGGATACGGACTTGAAAGAGCCCTCCGTCGATGATCCGATCAGCGAGCCAATCGACCAAGGAGCTCGGGAGTACGGTCGGCCTCGAGCCTCGAAAACCGGTGAGCTAGCCACAGTCTTTTCTAAGGAGGACACAAGAGATCCTTACCCCGATCCCACGGTAGAGGACATTACGCTATTTCAGAATCCTTCTCGACTAAGGCTGCACGTCGAACGGGATCGCTCCGCCGACTGGTGCCCCGAACGGTTGCCTACCTTGGAGGACATTGAGATCTTTCAGGAACAACGATTCGTTATGCGCGCAGTTAAACGATCATCCAAATACTTGACACATGGTCAGCATAGCGACACGATCATTGGCCCTTATCATGAGCACTCGTCTGCGTCTTCTCCTTCTCATCTGACGTCGCTCCTACCTTTTACAAACTCTCCTGACATTTGTGTAGCTTCTCAACAAACTGTATGCAGAATGTCATCACCTTACTGATAATAATTTTTTGATTTGCTTAGGTCTCTTTTTTTTTCTTAAATAAATTATCGAACCTTTATTCATGTCCCTGATGTACTTTTGGAAGTTTTGACAAATTCAAGTAAACGGTGATACTCTTAATTGTAATTGTTATCGATTAACAGTCTTTCTACTGAAATCGTACGCGTAATTTAATGACTTTCGTGGGAATAACACTGACGTATAGCTTAAGACATGTTGAAATTGCCCTGTAGCTACTGTTGATAGTAGTAATCGAGTAGTGCCTCCTAAGGTTGCCCTGTTTCGCTTAATAATTGCGTAATTACACGTGCTAATGGTTGGCGTTAGTACTTTATAAATTATTGTTACTTCTCAGTATGCTTCCGGAGTGTAAAGAGGAAAGTTACGCGACACGTGGAATTCTAGACAAGATCGTCATCAACTCCCCACGGTGCCTTATAGATTATCTTTGCTTAAAAAGTGCGATTACGCAGTCGTGTGTATGCATGGTTATTTTTTTCCGAAAAAGGACGACAAAACCTTTATATCCATTTTGAAGAATATTTAAAAAAAAAAGGAAGTCAACGGATTATACCAGTTTTGCAAAATTTCACTTTTTGAACACTAGATAACATATTTTTGACGGTGCCTAATGATAAATCAATAATTTTCACGTTCAAGGATAAATTAAAAATTTTTTTAATGCAAACAACGCATACTTTTCAAAATGGACAATCTAAAATAGCATTTACAGAGACGATCGTGTTTAGAATAAAACGTACGTATCGCCCTAATAATATTTTAATTTATTTTCGGAAAACTTTGTTCCGTAACGTTGCATTGTCTTTCGTGTCACAAAGTACTCTTTATCCCATTGATAGCGCCTGAATATCCATTGACGTTCTGAAATTCTAGACATTCCTCTGTGAACGTTCTGCAGACATATATTGTAACAGTCATAAATTGCTTCAAGTGTAACATAGCCATCACTTTGCAGCCCTTTTGTTTTCGGTCTCTTCTGTTCTATAGATACTTTCAAAGCTTCTCGTATGATTGTCCTTTTACGAAATATGATTCAGATTCACAATTTTTAATTAAAGGGAAGCATGATTGATCCATTAAATTTATATACACATGAAAATTCGTTGTCAAGGAATACCTACAGTTAATTACAAATATCATTCATAGTCTGTTCAGTTCGTTGTATCTTCACTAAAAATAGTATAAAAATAGAAAAGCAGAAAAAATGAAAATAATAAATCTCTGCCGGGAAGACAAAAAGAACTTTTTTCTTTTTATCAGACCGTTGACACTCACTCTTCCTCTCACAGGAAGTAACAGCATCCCTTACTTCTGAAAGATAAAAACTTTCGCCGAAAGAAGTGCCCCTCTTTTCCATCTTTGAACATCGGCGATCTCTTTTTGGAAATAAACATTGCAGCCAGGGTTTTATTGGACGTTTGCTATGAAACGGAACGAAGATATAAAATCCTTTATCGAGGCCTATAGAGAAACGTACTTGTGCGAGTTCGGGTATCAATTTTGTATGTTCTGCGAATAAAAGGGAGTTGGAGTACAGAAATGTCAAGTTGTTTATTTTCCTATGATAATCATTGATCCTTACACCAGCCTAGGTCACTATTTATCACTATAGTTATTTTCATTATATAAGTATTATCTCTCCAGATCATACCCGTTGGTTGAAAATACACTCGGGCTGCTTCGAATGTTTTATACGGACGAAAGAACTAAATTAATCGAGTAGGTAGATAGAAAATTAGGCAACAATGCTACTCACTTTTTCTGATTGAATAAAAAATTGACAAAGCATTTTGATGTGACTAGATGAATCGACTGTCAGTTTTATGGGGAACAGTCTGTGACGCCAAGGACAGTTTTTGTTCCTTCCTTCAATATCTTTCAGACACATAAATTTGCAGGTGATGAAACTTCCAGTGAAAGCAGCTGAAACAGTAAGTCGCCCGCAGTCAATACTCAGAGTTACAATAATACTGTAATACGCTCCATACTCTAATAAATAATAGCCTCCATATATCTCCTTTTGTTGCATGAGCACGAAGCCGACAGTGACATTGTCTAATCACGTCGTTTAACATTTTGATACCATTCGACCATTACGAGCAGTGTTAATATTCTCTGAATCCGTTTGAAATCAAATTTATCTTATGTCAGTCACAGTTACTCGCGTACATGTAAATTCAGATTATATTCCAGCAAGGACTAGTTATGGTTATATATCAAAACTGTTTACAATTTTCTTGTCAGGGATACAATGGTTATGTAGTGTGACGACTTTAGTGCTATGAAGTCTTGAAAATTGAAACAGACCTTGTCCTCGCGCGTTTTAACAGTTTTCCGGATTCGCTGATCTCACTTTGACGCTCGTGCGTCGTTTTTATACCAACTGACGTAGTTCCCTTTTCATCGATAGCTGTTTAAAGGTTATAGTCAGGTCGGACAAGAATTTCACTGGCCTCGTATTTCACATCGTACAGTTTTACGTTGCTAACGCAACCTAAAGAACTCCCGTATAGCGAAGACCCAATGTTTTTACGACGTACTTGAGCAATAGGTATTGCGGTGCGCGTTGTATAGTCTGCTAGTATTAACAGTACCGTAGATAGTCCCTTCGAGCCCTGTAGATATTGAAATTTTCAAGATTCCTTTCGAACTTCCTTCAAATCAATACAAAATATTTTTATGAGAGAAACAAATAAAATTTCTTTAAAAAAAAATCCATACGACGTCACCCGGAAACGACCCATAACTCATCGTGTCCCATTGCATAATCCTGATATGCGTAGTTGGACCTATCTTTATGACAGCCGTGTCACAGTGCATGTACTTTAGATATTTTATAGTTATGACATCCCTGAATAAGAAATTATAACGTCGCCAATAGGCATCTAATTATTACTCTGTGTTTGATGAAACTTTGAGATTGGTAAATTAACTCTTATTACAACACAATTAAGCGAGGGAAGAATGTTTGATCAGAATATATAATTAAATGTAAAGTTAGCTTGTACAACAACAGTATTCATTATGTTTGCGTTTCATTTCGGTGACGTCAACGAAAAATATTGAAGTACATTGAATTGTTAACTTGTGTCAGGTGTTACAAGAGTGAAAAAAGTTCGACAGACGCGTTAGCTGGAAAATTAGTGGCATAGCTATTCTATATAGGCAAAGCGATATATCAAGTTCAACAATTTATTAAAACTTTGAAATACGGTCAAATGATTTTCCAGTTTCATATCTAAGCTCTTAGTTTAATCGGATGTCGACTAAATATCTGATGGCACTCTAAAACGTGTGTATTCTGGTATCGATGCGCCACCTGGACTGGAAGTTACTGTTATTGGATCTTGATTTACTTTCGAAATTTATTCAAAATATAAAATTGAGGCTAAATTAAAATCTGACAAAATATAGGGAAAAGATAAAAATTGAATTAAAATTGTAAAATGTCGAAAAGGGCGCCGTCGGGTGCTACGCCCGTGGTCTTTCGTTGCGGCGAATCTTTGACTAGGGGTAGATCTTTCGCGTTTAACTTACCCCTTTTGCGTTTTCCTTGTCGCTCGGCTCGACTTTTTTTTCTTCCTGAGGTTTTCCCCCCTAGTCCTGCGGCCGACAGCCACAGGACTTGGGGGCTTTCCTCAATAAAAAAAAAAACACGGTCCCCTATGGGGCCTCGGAGGGGTCGTAGCTCCCTTCAGGAGAGGCTGGACCTCACGGAAATGGGCGGGGTGGGGCCCATTTCTCTCCCTTATACAAAAACAACAAAAAAACACGGTCCCCTATGGGGCCTCGGAGGGGTCGTAGCTCCCTTCAGGAGAGGCTGGACCTCACGGAAATGGGCGGGGTGGGGCCCATTTCTCTCCCTTATACTTCCTACTTTTCATACTTCTTCCATTGTCTCTTATCTCGCTCCTCCAGAATAATCTGGTCTTCGTGCTGTAGTTTGCCAAATGTTAATAGTAGTGACATCCATAGGATAATAACGAAAGCTAGTCCTGCTAGAGTTTATATTTCTTAAAATTTGTCCTGTTGCTGCCCGGAGTGGTCCCTTTCTGTCTCGGACTTCCAATACGAGCGGACGTCATCAAGCAGCACAGCAAGTCATACCTAAGGTAACAAGCAAAATTCTTAAAAATTAGAGTCATTGATTTTCATGTATATTTTTCTTCATCACTAAATGCAGGGTGTCGTACAAAGATAGAAAGGGCTTTTATTTAAACCACTATATGGAATTATTGACGGAGATATTTGGCAATCGATGTGAACGCATACGTCCCTGATAATTTGGACATCAACCAGTAAAAAGGAATATCGCAAACAATTCCTCCATAATTTTATCAACGGCTACGAAGTACATCATGTTTTCGGAACAACGTACAGCTGAGCGATATTATTTATTTTAGTTTGGTTT